TGGCGTAGACAATGGCTTGGGGCGACCCACAAGTCAGTGCTTTCACGCTCCCGGACGAGTTTGGTATCGAACTTGGTTGGCCTGAGTAAATATGGATCCAGAATTCGATCTCCAACCGTATGTGTCGTATCATACATATGCTACTTAACCACAAGCGTCCTTTTTCCACAAATAGGTAACCATATTCTGTTTGAATTCCGGAGGTCTGAGACTGGATCCCCGTGTGGGATACTTTGTTGAAAGGTGATTGATATTTTCAGGTGAGTCTCGACTAGTCCAAAAGAAGAAAACAATCTATCCAGAATGGGAGAAATGCTGGGACACGGCAGTGACTGAAGGCCGGATTCTACAGATAGTTCTGATGTACAATCAAACGCCTGTGGTTGAAGCGACTATGCGGTTAGAGGTGGGTCTGTTGAATGCGTGAGCCATTCGGAACCAAAGGCTCTACCTCATCATTGTCATCTTTAACTTTAACTCAACGGCCTCTTGTTCATTCAAAACCACTTCCAGAAGGTGCTATACAGCTCCAAAAAGTGCACTGCCCTGAATGAACAAAGTTGTCGTGCACTCCCAAGCCCTGAGCTTACTTTTTGTGTAATGCTGCTCAATTCTTATAAACATTGGTATTAGGCTGTTTTCATTTCCGTACACTTTTCCTATTCCGAACGTCCATTCACAGCCCTAACGGACTCTTAATAAGAGCATTTTACCTTTTTTGCTAAAAAAACGCATTCCCTCTTCGTGTCTGAGCTCTTCTAAAGCAGTTTTCAGTCTCTTCTGCAGCTATGTGATGAAATCTTGAGTCATCAATGCCAGTCACTTTTCTGTAACTCTCTAGCAACATCGGAAAAGAAAATATGAAGATTGTGAGCCACGTTTGTACTCTCTCAATGACTTCCAAGCTTCGATTGGTACCCCATTCGGACAACTCGCCCTCCCCACCTTATTTTTCCTTTGCTAGACGGACCCCAACCTCTGTCCGCAGTGCGACGGAAGGCTGTCTTGTCCTCGGTACAGTTCCATCTGTGAAATTCCTTGCTGGGGGTTCAAGTTTTTGCTTCTGTAGGGACCAAACGCGTGGCCTTTTCCTAGTGCAGACATGAGTCTACACACTTAACCGTTCGGCTATACCACCTCTTCCTCATGACTGAACCTGGACATTTGAAGTATTCCCTACAGTTATCGTCAAAGCTGTGGCTCGGCCACGTCGCGGTTCCTATCTAGAACCCTCCCTCGTTTTCCTCTGGCAAATTGGGAAAGGTAGCAGTACTGATCTTTCCTTCACTTTTCACTGACAGGTGATGCAGACTTTTGTAGCAGTCAGATGCAGGCAGGCAGATTGTACAAACCAACGTTGCACTTCATTTAAAGTCAGGATTATCAATCGATCTGACTTCTTTACCGTTTTTATCATCTATCACAATGAGCCACTACCAATGTGTTAACTATCTGAAACCTTTTTGCTTTTTTTCCACGTCAAGTTACTCATCCTTCCTTCTCCCTTTTGAAGAAGTTCTTTGTTTTCCGTGTTTGTATTGATGTTTATATTGCGCAATCGACGTGGTTTGTGATTGTTCGTCCTCGTTCCGATGCTGATAAGAGCCTATGCTCTGCACCGTGCACGGAATGGCTTTGCTGACAATGAGACACTGTCTTTGATACTTTTTTTTCATCTCAATTGCCTCCTACCTGCTGAACCTTCACGTCTGATAACAGCGGGGAGCTGAAAGGCTCTACGTATGCGNTAGTTTTAACCTGCTTTCTGACTACCTCTTACTTCATCAGAATTTTGACCTCTGATCAAAATTTTCAACTGCGCCTAACCTGAATCCCTTCCTTCCCCAGTGAGACCCGGTGCAAACCTTTTTATGCCACATACGTCACACTTGTTGACATGATAAAATTGCATCTGAAAAATAGCAAAATTATCCAAAATGGTGTTGGCGACTAACTCACCTCCTTGTTTAACAAATGGACACTCACCGAATTTGTATTTTGCCTCCGTGAAATGCACGCTTCACCCTCAGAGCATCATCTTTGGGAAACATGCTGTGCATGCGTCATGTCATGATCAACTCTTGCAACTGTTTATTGTTCAATAAGTGTATGTTGACGTACAATAGTGCGGGTCTTGCGTCATGACAGCGTAAGAACGATGCCAACTCATAGGACTTACCTGTTACTCATAATACTGGTAGTGTTAGGTTCAAATCGTATACTCCGTCCATAACATACGTGTATGAATCGAGAATCGAAGTCCAGGAAATTGATGTCATATTGGAAGCTGTCGGTATTATCCAAGTCAACAACCTCCCCATGGAAGTTTATGAACGGTGGTGGGAGGCTTCAGGACGTAGTATCTTTATTGATAACATAGGGACTATGCGGAGGCGTGGCGGTACCAGGGTGATCAGAAGGGCCACTTTTTTATGTGAATGCTTTGCGAGAACGAGTAAAAAAGACGAAAATGTGTTTCTCAATGAGGAACTCTACCTCAGACCATAAATCACCATGCTTTTCTCCCTACCACTCCTTATACCTGTAGATACTGTTTTGTATTGATTGGGGTCCATTTCTGAGATTTTCACTAGGCTCTACTTCCCTCAGGTACTGGGAACGGCTGGTCGATGTCTCGGCACTATTAAACCAATCTCAGTGTCTGTGATCAAGAAATTTACATTGTGAACACCTAAGCCGTCGAGTACTCTTTCTTATGACTGCAGATTTTTCAAGCAAGTTTTTTAAGAAATTAAGGTTTTTAAGTAAGAGTTCCGAGTAGATGAAGAGTTAAATGAACTATGGGAGTCGCTAGTCGACAAAGAAAATTCCGCAGGAATCCTAATTTGGAAGCGAGTTCATCCTTGTGGGGTGAGAAGTGTCTTGTGGGGTGAAAAGTACAATGGCAAAGTCGTACGCACGCACAGATAGATATTTATATTTTTGGTTTTTATTGTGTACCTGACTGGATGGTCAAAACATTTTGAGTAATCTGTGGTGCTGAATGTGAAGTGGTGGTCAATACGCTCTACTTAGACTATTTATTCTATTTATAATCCGAAACAGGTCATACTGATTATATTCTGCCACCCATTGGACAACATTCATATGTCACTTGGGCAGTGTGAAAGGTGTTTAGGCAAGCTATTTATATAATATTTGCAACAGTGCATTAAATTTACGGTACCGCCGTCTTTGCAGCGAACGTATGTGCTTGGTCAACTAAATGAACAGATTAAGCTGGGCCCTCTAACGTTTTCCTCCAATCTCCACACTGTTTGGCAAGCAGGAATGCCGAACAGGCTTTCTAACCGAAGGTGCTGTAGGTAACCTTCACAAGCGTGTGATTCGATCCGGAGCTAAGGTAGACAGTGCTAACTTTCACGAGCTGACAACTCATGTTCAACATGTCCGCCACGGAGAACATTCAAGAACCGGTCTGCATTCTCTGTAAAAGTATTTCATGTGTAACTTTAAATGCCAATATTCGCAGCTTCAAGAAGAGGAACTGTCCATTCTGGCAGAGAATCCTTTTCACTTTGTCAAATTTTGCATTTCCTGCTATTTCAAAGACTAACTCCGCAAGCTGCAGTTGAGCGGAAGAACGGGAAGAAAATCCTTAGGAACATTCTTTCCGTGATCTCAGTGGTATTCTTGAAATAATGTTCTATCAGTCTAGCTTTCTCGGAATCTTAGCCATCGACGACGTGCCCCTACGACGGTCATGCATCAGATTCTGTCTAGATGCTGTGGGGAATGTTGTGAATGAAAGGATAAAGTCTTTTGGAATTGATCAATCCCATTTCGGTATGCGCCCTAGCACTTGGTATCCCCAGAATCTCAGTCTCTTTCGGCGACCATACTTCCCGGACGATGCATACATCAGATTCTGCCCATACGAATCAGACTGTTCAACCTGAGAATGCAACATCAGGTGGAGGAAAACTTCGAAGGGTTACGCTAGCAGGGCATTGCAAAAATGCTCTTCACATAGTCCTATCAGTTGAGTTCGTGGCGCTCCATAAGAACCTTGATAGCAGTTGACCGCTTAGTCTTTTCCATGACGTCGCTGTGCCCGACTTCTGCCATTTCTCCGACCCCCTTATCTTCCAAGCTATCAGCAGTCGTGCTCTTCTGCCGTGACACATGTCAGAAAACGCTGGTTCTTTCCTCCATTTGTTGCTATAGAGCTCTTCACTGATCAGCTGTTCCCTCACCCTGAGATAGCTAATTGTGAAAGGTTTCCGAGTATAATTCTCCCCGACATCGATTTGATGACAACTCAAACAAAAAGCGGTGTGATTACTGGATTATGTATATGATGCATGTGGATGTTTCGAATAAACGACCACAGAAAAATGTTTTATAATGATTGGTCTTTTCTGGTCGCATTACGTCTTTCTTTTCTGTATTGGTTAGTGGAGATACCCGATTTTCAGTCTTTGGATGATGCGAGCGATATCGGCCTCACTTGGAAACCTCTATAAGGTCAAGTTTTTTAAATGGAATCCCTCATAGTTCCTCTAAATCTGGGCCTGACCTCGGGGTTTCAAACCTGTTGGATCCCATGATGGAAAGGTTCCTTTTCCATGTGACTTGTTCTCTGAGGTCGTCTCATCCTAGAGAGCCATCTGACCACCAAAAATCAAGTTTTTCTCTGATCCGTGTCTTGACTAAACGATCACGATGTTGTACGTGCCGACTGTGGAAATCTCGTCTTCGTACTGATTACCTGTTTTCTTACCGATGGCCTTGAACTTCGACGTCATTCCCAGTTTCGGACCTAAATTGAGCTGATTTTGTTATTTCTATCTCCAATATAAACACTTCTCGTCGTCTACGTCTTAGTCTCCCTCTCAACGCTTCGAAATGAGAGAGCGAAGATTGCGATTGCCTTTGATTCCGGCACTAGGAAATATCTGTTCGGTTAGTTTATGTGTTCAGATTAAGATTCCTTTTCTTCAAGTGGCGGAAGCGTGTTTTTGAAATGATTCTCGAAAATGGGACCAAATGACATGCTGATTGCTCTAACGAGCAAGATTGACTAGTCCACCAGTTTTTTCCCTCTCAGCAGCCGGGCGCTCACATTAGTCTACATCGGCAGTGTGGTGCTGGGCCAAACCGTCAGTTTTGGTTCACTTTCCCAGATTCATTCCAAACAAGTACTCTACTGACTGTTTCTGGCAGCGGAGTGGTGGGAAGCTTGGCGCATTGACTTTTCAGACGTGATGGAATGGTTTATTCAGCTTACCTCTTGAAGATTTTAGTTATTTGTTACTCCTTTCTTCATCTCAAGCACAGCTTTTTCTTTTTCCATTTCTTTGGATGTCTCGGCCAAAGGTATTACGCTGGTGTGGTCCTATTGAACAGTCCTCCAGTTGGTCCGGCTTTGAAGGGCTTATTGTCCGATGGTTATGCTTCATTTGG